TTACTGTTACTTTTACGAGTAATCCAAATATTGTAAATATTTCTATTACCAGTAACAGTCATACTTTCCAGTTTTACTGTTGCTGATACAAATTTTATGAACATTCCTATTACCAGCAACAGTAAAATTGGAAAGTATGACTGTTACTGGTAATAGAAATATTTACAATATTTGGATTACTCGTAAAAGTAACAGTAATGTGCCACCCCTAATTCTGATGCTCCCATTCTCATCTGTTCCACTTATTAGTTACCTTTTTTTGGAAGTCAAGTTCATCACATTAGCAAGAACATCTGCCATATTTTCGCTACCCTTAAAGCGATAAAGAATTTCAGCATATTACAAAGCATTGTGATCAAGATACCTGTATGATAACAACCGGCCGCTGTGCTGACAGATCATTTTCGACCACCTCCAAAGTATTTTTTCCACCTTCTACGATAATAGTGATAGGATAGCCTACATATAAATTACTGATCGATGATCGGCATCTACATTTGTAATAGAGACGCGCAGGGTAAAGGTTTTCTGAGTCCTGGCCGAACCCTAGGAAAATTTTATAAACCCTAGACCTAGTCTATCCTCTAGAGTCCAAGCACTGATCCTACCCTAACCTATGCCCATGGAACCATAGCCTTCTGACCTTCTCCTTACTGTGTAAAAAGCTTTTCAAAGTTCCACAAAAATGTGTAATGAAGATTTTTATTCAGCTCTCACCTTACTCATCAAACGTTTTTGAAGTCCCTACCCTACCCCGCTACTTTAAGCCCTGCGCATCTCTAATTTGTAATACGCTAAATACTTACAATAGCCTTCAGCATCAACAGCAGCTTTGATAAACGCAGACCGCGGAGAATCATTTAGGTAATCGCCTAACCAACCATTGTCAAACATGATGAAATGCGTATGATTCCATTCTAGCGTCTCACTATCATGCAACGATAATACGTTCACAGTGGCATCAACCGGCGAACGCTAAAAAAAATATATCTTCATTCATCTTGATAATTAGTCGAAGGACCTTGATTACTTTACCATTCTTTTTAATCTATTCCTTGTCTCATCTGTCAAACTTCCCCATTGAGTTAATCCAATTGCAGTAATATTTTTTGGATATTTGGACAATAACCGATATTGCGAAATACCGTCACCAACTAATTTTGCGACGCCACTATTCAATCCAGTTGTCACTATCCAGGCATCTGTAACAACAATAAAAATAACGCAAGATGAACAGCAGAAAGTCGTTTACCTGCAGCAGTTGCCACTTTTACGATGCCTTCCATGAATTTCTTTTCCAATCGCTCATTCAATTCGAAATATTTTGCTCCTCCAAAGACGCTTATTATCAAACTTGGCTTGTGTTTACAATCAGCAACAATCAAATCATATATAACTTTGGGTGACGTTTGGTTGTCCAGCGTAAGAACTACATGCAAAGTTTATTATAAGTTGCTTGATTGGAAAGAACATAGGAAAGAGAGGCACTAGTTCATATCTTCACTTCTGTTTTCCGATGTTGCATTAATAAAGTAGCCCTCCTTTGTAAGAGCCATACTTGCAAAAATAAAAAAAATAGTTCAGTTCTGTTCAGACACTAGATGGCTCGATGCTTATCCGCACATTTTTCGAGAGCATGTACTTTCTAAAAATTAGTATTTCTCTTACTTACATTTGATTTATTGGGTAATCTGCCAAAAACCGACAATTAAACTGGTTTTGTATGACTATGTTCTTTCCACGGCGCTTTTATTTGTGTGTTTAGTTCGTCTGAACTATGCGCTCTTGCCAAACGTCCGCATCCACAGACATCGGCCTGGCTTAGCTGCTTGCATGTACGCGATTTCAGGTTTCTTGTGTCTTTGTACGTAGTCACAAGTTGTATCCAAGAGTCCATTTTCTCACACATATCAGTTTAATCTTCTCGACAGAAATGATAGAAAATAAATTGCACTTCACATCTTCTAGTCTAATACAAAATTAATCTTAATCAAAAAATAGTCGAAACAACTTACAGCTGTACAGGACATGTGCGATACAATTTTCGTTTTGTGCGCTGAAACGTGAAGTAGGTTTCTGCAGTTTCTCTGTGGTTTTACTAACTGTCACATGAATTTCTGATTTTAGTTAGTTACCGAAATTTAGGTAGTTATCGAAAGTCGTTGTCTTCATAACAAATTCTCGAATGACTAGTTTATTTAAGCTATGAAAACAACTAATATCTCAATTGGGATGTTTTATTAATTCGCTGCAATTTTTTCAAAAGAGTGTGATATGAAGATATATTATTTTACGTGATAGTATTTATTGTACTCACTATTTTAGATAACGGTCAGCAACACTTGAGTTGATTTCTTGCTTTTCTCCTGCAGATATCTATGTAACACGTATATGTCTTATATTAGGTGTTTTTTAACATTATGCTATTTACTTGTTTGCAATGTCTGTCGATCTGTTAATATCACCTACAAAAACGACAGAATTCTACAGATAATTTCGATTCGGACCGAATTTTCATTGCAATACGCGATATAAGGCCCCACCAAGCATGGTTTGTGAGATATAGTCACAACAGTGACAAAAATCGAGCTGTTCGTAGCTGCAAGATTTCTCAGTAACGAAAGGTTGTGGAGAGTTTGGGCTGGTCTTAAATTGACGAAAATACATGTGGCTAGAGGCTAATAGAGCCAGAGTTCGATATTTTACTTATCAAATTAATGATCAGCGTCAAACGTCCAAAATTCGAAAAGGTCACAATAACTTGCATAAAGATATTTTACTAAACACAAATCTAGATCAAATATCAAGAATTGAGCCCTATTAGCACTAGCCACATGTGTCAGCTTCAATTTAAGACCTTCCCGAGCTCTCTGCTATATTTCGTTACCGAGAAATCTTGCACCTACAAAATGGTGTTAAGGTGAAAGTCGCTTTGATGATTTGGTGACGCCCGTATCTGATGCAGGTTTTACGGACTGCAGCAAAACTCTCATAACTCTTGATCAGGAATGTTTGCTCTATTTTCTGGTGTTATTGAAAATACTTTTGGATTTATTTTTTTATTGGAAAGTAAAATTTTTTCGGAAAGTCAACTTTTGAAGGTTGTCAGAAAACTTTTCTGGAAACCTCCACACTCCTTCGATGAGTACCAGATAACACTGGATCTTGATAAGAGATACTGTGAGCTATCGGATGATGTGTCTAGCTCAATATTGACTTTTTATAAAAAAATTTGTTTCTGATGGAAGGGGGCTTAAGTTTAAGGTAATAAGTTTGAGGTGATAACAATATCGACCGTTACGGAATCACCAAAAATGACACAGTCATTACGATTTGAATTTGTCGAAAATTCAGCTAATCTCTGTCTTTTATGTGAAAACGTTTGCTGGTAATGCTGTAGAAAAGTGCATGATCGACCGGAAGAAAGAATAACGCTTAAATAGCTAAACTGTCATCGTTACAGAATCACGCATTTCACAAATAACTATATTTTCGCAGTCCGATTTTTTTTCCCTCAAGAATGAGCGAGAGTTAAAGTAAAACGATATCATCGTGATCTCAAAACGTTTCTCTATTTAATGATGTGCTTAAGAGAGGTTTCGTGACTCCATCGAGAAAAGAAATTTTATGGGCAAAATTAACCTATACTTTTTATTGCATCATTCGTCTACTATCCATCCCAAAATACAGTGCGGATGGGTATTTTCTGAATAACTTTTGACGAAAATGCAGACTAATTTTCAGGAAACCCTCAGTACAGCTCATAAAGCATAATCGAAGACGAAAAAGGTGGCTTTCAGTCGGGTATTGGTTTAAGGTTTTCCAGAAACCTTGTGAATAACCGCAAAGAATCAGTGTTCTACTGGACCACTTTTTCTGTGTGATCAACAATATATGGCATCTTTTAAGTCTTTCCTAAAAGGTTCCTTGGGCCAGCATGAGATTTGATCGAAATATAAGGATTTTAATTTAATTATTAATAATAATTATTTATTGATTTTAATTAAAAGAGAATAATGCACAAGTCTTCATCTGAGCAAAGTTAAAAGAAAGTCAAAGAAAAGAAGTTAAGAGCTTGAAGGCCATGGTCTATCTGTGAGCCACAGATGCATGTAAGGCT